ATGTTTTGAGATTTGAAGCAAGAATGGAGCTTGATTTTCTCCCCTCTCTCAAAGATGAAAGCATGAAGTATTGTTTATCTGATGGTGACAGTTTTGTTGGTCTACCAGGTCTTGCATGTTTGTTAGAAGCCTTATTTTCTCTATATCCTTTAATCATTTGTTGAACTCCAGTTTTAGAAACTCATGTTTTTTTCTCACATATTTTGCTTTGACATTCCTTAGGCAACTGATTTATCTAATACCTAATCTCCTCGGAAAATGAATAACTTGGATTTAATAGCTGTTCTGGAAATAAAAAAACGAAGGGCGGTCTCTGACTTTTGCACTCATAATACTCACATAACACACCCTGCCTCCTCCACCCTTTTGCACAACATAACTATAACATCATCACGCTCTTAAACAGCTATAGCTGCACTTCCAGTAAAAAATGGCAGCAGGCTGTGCATGGTAATGACAGTCCTGCTCACTTTTGGGGTTTTTATCTGCGGGCATAATCTCGCCCTGCGCCGCGGCCACGGCTGGAATGCATAAAATTACATAAAAAGACCCATTAAGTACTCTGGACTCAAATTAGAGAGGTTCAGTTTGAAAATCACAGCGTTCCTCTGCCAAATGCTTCCGAAGAATTAAGAGCGTAGAGAACAATTTGGGTGAATAATTTGAATTGTGGCATACGCTAGTTGTTTTTTGTGTGATTTTGTGCACGCAGGGAGCTACTCATTCCTCTCTGTGGATTCGACTGTGGGAGGTCTGCTTCAAAAAGTCAATATACAGTTTACAGAAGTGATTCTGAAACAGAAATGATTCTCTAAAATTATGGCTCCTCATAAGAGCAGCCGGTGTCCCAGGCCTTTACAACAAATTTAGTGCTTTACAATCTTTTTACAATGTCAAGTTGTAAGAAAATTCTCGTTATGATGGTCAGGCCATAGTGATACGCTTAATATAGACAGTATGTGGTTTTGCTTTTTTTTTTTTTTTCTTTTCAGTCTGTTTGGTTTCTACACATGAATTTTGCAGTTGATTGAATATTTGCTGGAAACTCTGGCAGAAACATTAATTTGTTTATATTAAACACAGCTGTAGACCAACAGTTGTGCTATCAAGAAAATAAAAAGTTTTTAAATCAGTTTTGGACTAAATCCTGATTTTTTATTTGCTATTTCTGGAATATTTGCCCAAATGGGCCAAAAGCTAATCAACTCTGAAACATTTGGAAAAATGATCACAGGATCCCATTATAATCATGTCAGGTGTTTTAATGGTTTATATGTATTTTCTGGAATTTACTGAAAAAGTCCTGATTATATTTTTGAGGAGCAGTTCTTAAACATGCCTAATTTATCATTACTGTCTATGTAAAATGTAGGGAACGTAAAGAATCTTGAATAAGTGCTTGACTGGTTTCAGCTGCTGAACTCATGTATGCTGGTTATGTCCATAAACGGCTTAAATGTTCCCCTTTGAGCTCTGAAATTCATTGTTCGTATTCAACCCTAAGAAATTTTACAACATAATTTTAGAGCATGATTTCTATTTATTTGCTTAAGTTTAACATATTGGAAAAAAATAAAACCTAAAGTATGGTGTGTGCCATAATGTTTGCACAGGCCACATATTATTTATAATATGTTAAATTCAGCAAATAAACATATAACAAATAATGCATTAAAATGTGCAGTAATGTGTTCTCTGTAAAGGACGTGTTAACTTATTTTCATTTATATTAACAAAACGTTATTTGATCAGTGTGCCTAAACGTTTGCATACAACTATATAAAATATAACTGGATTGGCCTTAGAGAGGAAAAGCTTTTTGTACAGGGTTACAAACATAATAAAATGCACACAATTCAGAGCTTTTATCACAAAAGCTCAATAATTGTCATAGAATATTGGTTTGAAATATCAGTCTAATCTTAACATCTGTCTGATGCTGATAGTTTTTAACAATTATCTGTCGATATCGAAATGTAGGGCTTGGTAACGTGACAATATTTATCATTATCGAGATAAATGACCTCATGTTATGTCAATATGTGTTTCTGGTTATCGTCAGCACTGAACAACTGCACGTTTCATTACACAGGGAGCATAGTTATTCCTGTTTAACTGGATTTAGTGCAGTGCAGTATGTGAAACACAGAATAAAAGTCACTGTATTCATGGTTTTTAACAGTATTTTTAAAAATGGGGTATTAGTTGTTCTATTTTTGTGTTTCAACTTCTCAAACCTTAGAAAAACAAAATATTGCACTATATATGCCACTCACCCGCTCTTCTCGTAAAACGACCATCCCACTTTTTCATCTCCTTTACATTACTGTGATATCACTTAACATCTCTATTATACAGAGGTGGGTAATAACTAGCTATATTTACTCAAGTACATGTACTTATATTAAGTATTTTCAAATCATTATACATTAATTCCGTATTAGTGAGTAAAGAAATCCACTGTTTATTCAATTCCATTCATATTTAGTTACTAATTCCTTTTATGTGTTTAATTTAATATATTTTGTTAGTGACAACATCTTCAATTTTTTGAGATTGGTCTCATCTCTGAGTTTAGCATTTTATTTTAAACCAAAAGAAGACTACTAAGAGAGAAAAATAGAGGCTAACAAACTTCAGTTTCTGTGCTGATAGATGCTGGATTTCCTAAGTTCCACTGTTGTCCTATAAATTGCTCAGTACTTAAGTAGTACTTTGACCCAGTACTTTTGTACTTCTGCTCAAAAGGGTTTTTGGGAAGATACACTTACTTTAACCTGAGCCATTAGTTTACCCAAATATTAATACTTTCACTTGAGTATGAGTTTAGGCTACTCTACACTGTTAGAAATAAAGATTCTGTGCAGGTACATTTTTCATTCATCAAGGTATAAACAATGTAAATGTTCCCTCAAAGGTATTACAGTGGTTTTAAAATTCAATTGTGTACCTTAAATAATTTTTTCCAGGTGAGAATTACATATTTGTACCTTTTCATAACCGAATGTTTTAAAACAGAACAATAAAATAAAAAGCCTGAAGACGGGACGGGATGTGTGGAGTTAATACAACATAGAAAAATATCATTTCAGTGGATTATGGTACAATTATGTTCCCTGACTAAAGGAACTGAAATGTACCCTTGAGGGTACCACCCCAGTGACAAGAGGGGTACTGCCCCAGTGAGAGTTTAGTACCTTTATTCTGAGAGTGTACCCTGGTCTGCTGTTATCAATTTTTCATTCCATTCATTTGTGAGATTTACACACTCTGGGATTTCTTCGTGCAAAATAACCAAGTTACGATCTGCACGCATGGACCTACAGAGGTCACTTTTTATTGGCTATGCTGTTTAGTACAGCACGTCGTCAGAGTTGCCAGGTTCACAGTTTTTCCCCAAACAGGGCTACTTTGGCAAAAGCTGTTGCAGGAAAAAATTATACAGTTTCAGGTTCTGGTGGGCAGCTTTCAAGCAAACTTTGGGGTGGAGATTTTTGCCAGACAAGGCAACCCTGCCTGCTATTGGCAGGATGGCCATATTTTGGTTTTCAAAAAAGTGGACACTGCGAGTGTCAACATGAAAGCAAGGCCAAATCCCAGACATTACAGGCAATCTGTGCATTTTTAGGTCCCAAAAAAGGACACATCCTGGAAAAAAGAGGACGTGTGGTTACCTAGCCATAGTGAACCTTAAAATACAGCAAGATCTGTGGCCTATATGAGGTACGACAACCAGCTTTAACCTGTGAGAGCTGCTTGAAGTTGACAAAACTAAAAAAAAGGCTATAATCTTAAGGGATTACCTTAATATTTAGGTAAATAAAAGAAGACTACTGCATACTACATAAGCCTTGTGATCTTCGACCACCCCTTCCAATATGATTTCGACATCATGGTGCATCCTTACTCCTAACGTCTGGTGAAAAACATGGCTTCATTCGTTTTCAATACTCATATAGAAAAACACCAGGCTGGAGAAAGATATCCATTTTTTTGGTTTAATAAAAAACAATATAATTTGAAAATAAATATATTTTAATGTTAAGCTAAAACAACAAAAAACAGGTGTTAATATTAACATTTAACGCAATAAATATATTACTGTGAAAATATAATGAAAAACAAAACATTTTCATTCACTTTAATACAAATAGAATGTTGGTGGGAAAGTCCATGAGGAAGAGTCATCTATTCATCTCTTGCTCTCTCTCTCTACTTTGCTCTTCAAGTCTCTGTTCACGTCGTCAAGCTCCGAAGGTCTGATAACCTCTCCTCAAATGCAAATTTGGCAGCACTTCTACAGAGAAATAGGCTAAGCAACAACTTCCCCCTAACAAAAATAAAGGCGTTTTCAGGAATGTTTAAGACTTATTTTTCTGTTCTTGAACAAAAAAACTAAATCATCTATAGTTTTTCAGTATTAGGCAGATTGGTGATGACGCTGATAGGAAACAAAGCAAAACAAAAACAACCAACAATAACACTGCATATAAATAGATCAAATTAAATACACGGAATACTGAACATATTCTACTATTATAAATTAGATGTAGTGTACTACAAAAAGGGATATTAGGCATGTATATACAGACGCACAGTTATCGTGGAGTAATGAACTTTTTCAACTGTCTCTTTGGAAAACATTTAATATATGGAATTAGACTCCATCTTTACTGTAAAGAGTGTAGCACTGTTGTTCTCTGCAACAGTGGGAATCGAGGTGCCTTTGTCACTTTTGTCTCCATATATACCTACATTTAATATCCCTTTATTATTTACACACCAAGTCCTATTGGATGTTAGTACAGTCATCGTTTTGAGTAAGACTTCGTCCCTCGCTTTGGAGAGTCCTCACAGAAATAAGATCGCTCCACTTTTTTCTCTCCTCAGTTCATACACTTCACAAATTGGACCTGCCATTTCGTCCAGTCAGAACGCATCTTCGTCGAATCCGCTCGTCCTTCACTCGTTTAGAGTCTCTCTGAAAGTGTGGATCAATGTTATATTAATCCACAGCAGCTCCGTTCAGTGAAGCGGTGTCCACCATCTGTGTTTTGTTGGGTTTTTTCGTGTGAATATCCCTCTATTTCGTCCATTCACAGGTCCAAATGCACTGGCACTAAAATGTATCCCTCTCTCATGCCATTGTTCATGGCACTGTCGTTCACCGTGTTTCCATAGCAGCATTACACATTGTCAATGTCTCTTACTTTAAAGATATATAACTATATATTTATATATATTAATTTCTTAAAAATATACACGGGGATAACGCGCCTCACACTCTTCTTTGTTGTTTTTTCTGGTGTAGTGTTATGCAGTATGGTCCACAGGTTGAAAAAAAAGTGCCAAGAAAAGTATTCCTTCATTCATTTCGGTGTCCACCGACGTCCAGCCTGATCATCTTCTTGGTTTGTCACATCTGAAATAAAATGAAACGGAAACAAAACGTTGGTCAGGGATTACTGTTGGAAGGAACCAATCACATTTTATTGAGTCTGGGGAGACCACACTGATCTGTCAAAATATCTTTAAATGTGTAAAATATAGCCTATTGTCCAGCAGGAGTTTGGAAAAGAATCAAATGTACACAATTTTTTTTCTTTATCCCAAATGTAGTCAGACTTCTTTGGCCTGTTTTCTTTTGTAGTTTTGCATTCGATATACAAAGAGAATGAAGCTAACAAGCAAGGGAACCTCCTAGCATACAATTAATTAACATGCCTAAATAATCACTTGCCTCAAACCTCACACAGCCTCTCCTTAGTGCTTTCTGTATGACACACTTTTCTGTATATTTTAAGCCACACAGTCCATTGGCTGTTTGACACAAATCTGATGACTCATGATGCAATCTGCACAATGCTAACAGGTAGCTATAAGTTTATTTACAGCTTTCTACATGTTAGCTATATTACCATGTTAGCTACATTAGCAAACTAAAAAAAAAAACATGTTTTGGCTGATCGACTACATTTGGGGTAAGGGAAAAAACTGTGTAAATGCACGCTGAGCTATTCCTTTTAAAGGTCAATGTCTACGGACGTTACCAGTATAAAGTGGGATCTCCCCTGAACCACGTTGTTCCCCATCCTTTATACACCCCAAAAACACAGCTTGGCAAGATTACAGCAGCAATATTAGAGTAAATTACAACACTGAGGAGTAGGACCATGAGAAGCAAGCAGCATGGACACAGGTTGGATTTCAATTTTTTTTTTTTCATTGTTAGCCCTGATTTTCCAACAGCTACACGGATGAGCTTGGAATTAAAGCACAATCTGCTATTAGTCCTTTGATAAATGAGCAGTTACACGCTGCAGCCTACTGATTATAGCGTCAGTAATTACACAGTAATATTCTCTCCCATACTTTTCTCTGGTTGATGCAGTATATTGTATTAGATAAGCTTGGATTACTCAGAGATGTTTATGAGTGATGGCCTTCCATCACACTGTAACATCTCAAAGTCCTACAGTCACACACACGTATGCACACGTACACAAATACACCTGTTTCGCTCTCTCTCGCTCGCAATCACACACACACCCTCAAGCGCACACAGGCCTGTATTGCTTGTTGCCAGAATATGATATTACAATATTCGCTTTTACAGCCTCTTAAGTGTACTAAAGCTTAACAATCCTGCATTATTAAAGGGCTCATATATATATATATATATATATATATACACATATATATATATATATGTATATATATATATATATATTCAGCCTACAGCAGTTTAACCCCATCCATTATGTGGAAGTTATAAAGTGTGTTTCAGCCTGGAGAGCTTTTTGGAACAACCAATTTTTTACTTATAGCATTGTTAAGGCCCAGTTATAAAACCAGCCTGTTTAATTTGAAAGAATAAGGGTTGGAATTTGATCATTTAAATTACGACTATTACGAGTATAGGGAAAGAAATTATATACAAGAAAATATACTATAGGGCCATTTTGGCTTTAAATCAATGCAGAATTTGTTTTTTTTTTTTGATTGATCTTGGTACAATATGCATCATGAAGCAAATTCTGACATCAAGCAATGATGTCAAATCATAATCCACAAGTGCACGTGAGGCAAATGTTCACACATAAGCAAATAATTTCACACCCACATGCGCACAGTACAAAGAAAGGAGGGAAAAAAGCACAAAACCCTACAAGCATGTGGTGAGCATGCATTTCTTGGCAAGAAAGAAAATACAAAACCAGAAAAAACACACACAGAAGCTTTGATAGGGTGAGATAAGGCAGACGGCAGCTCGAGGAGAACAAAGAAGGCACGGCGTTTTATCAAAACGTTCATAAACAAACCTGCAAGTTCTTTCGTTTAACTCAAGTTGCCTGGACTTGCATTGTAACTGTGTGAATTTGCAGGAACATTTGCAGGTGAGAGGATCCTGCACATACAAGCGCTTTCTTCTCTCTGAGCAAGGCTCACAGCGACTGCAAGGGAAGCAAAAAGGTAGAGAGAGAGAGATACAGTGAGACAGAAAGAGAGAGAGATAGAGAGAGAGAGAGGTGTCTAAGCTATAGGTCTTAGATAAGCGTTGTAGACAGCAAGAGAGAGACAGACTCATGCACCATCACACACACCCAGCATGTGTATTTCCTCAGGTTACACACACTCACAGGCAGTAGGGGTGGGCGATGTGACAATGTTATCATAATCACAATTAATTACATCATAATACAAGCATCTCCTTGAACAATGGCACGCTTCATTTAGGCCAATTGTATATTGATGACATACTACACACAGTAACAAGTAGCTGATGATGTCATAATGGATGTTAGCCCCATTATGACATCACTTTATTTACTTTTAATTTACTTTATTTATTTGATCTTTCCTCCTGTTTCTTAACATGTTCTTCATTTTATTCTTGGGTTTTCAGCCTTTCTTTCTTGTGCATTTTGTTCAGAACAACTTGTTTGCCGACCTCAGAAAAATATGAAATGTAACGAAAGGTAATGTGTAACTTGTAAAATGTTAAAAAGTATCACAATATTACATGTTGTACATATCGCCCACACCTATTAGTACAGTTCTCTTTCCTCTCAAAGACGCTTGCCATCACACATCACACCCACTCTCCTTCACTTTCATCATCATCATAATCAACATCATCACTGGCATCATCACAGGACAGTCAGTTAGCCCATGATGAAATGAGTATTGTGTACTATACTATTTCACTTTTGGAGGAGAGCAACCATGGTGCATGATGGGAAAGCAGTAAGCCACCTGTGCACACACACACACACTCCTATTTAAATCACTAATGCTCATTTATGCAATATAGTCATTAGTAGCTACAGTAAACACAGGAGACTACAGGGATCTGTTCTGTTACACACACACACACACACACACACACACACACACACATACACACACACAGAAAAAGTGTTTGTTTCTCATAAATAGAATTCACTTTTTAAAACACATCCACCATAACCTGGGTCAACTTGGTTCAGTCCAAAAGCAGTCTAGGACACTGGTTTGAAAAGAGCCCGAGTTAAAATATTGCAAGTGCTGTGATATGCTTTCAATATGTTTACATTTTACACACTTTCAAATGTACACCTTCAGGTGCCGTAAGATGCTGTATCTTCATTTATAGCACATATGCCAGATACACAGATCAAACACAAATGCAGCAGCACAGGGGGCTGTGACCATTACATCTGTCCAGAGCTACAAACTGACCCTTTTCTGTCTTGCATGAGCAGGGCATGTAACTAATGATAATTACAGTAATCGATTTATCTATCGACAATTAGTAGACAATTAATCAACTAATATAGCTATTCTTCAGTTCCTTTCTCTTTGCCACCACCATCATTCAAAGTTCCAACCGTGCGACAAATGAATTCTATTACAGTGCACTGAAACAACAAAAGCCATGTCGCCCCCTATACTTCCTGCAGTGTAGTGCAATCTGTCAGGAATAAACACAAGAATCATACAAACATTACACAGCATTATAAAGTACTTTTTAAATAAGACAACACAGGCTGAAATGCCCCCTACATTTTCTGAACCAGATGATCACAAGAACATTAAAGAGCAATTTTGTTGTTAAGCAAACATGTTAATATTTTTCCATAATTAACGCCACTGATGACTAATCATTGGGCTCAATTTAAAGCCAAAAAATTGTGATTCCCATTCAATCAAGAATCAGGCCATGCTAGCGCATGCTTATCTGCCCAGAATACAGACCACATCAGTGACCCCACTGTTGACACAGACCATAGAGAAAAGCAGTTGAGGTCAGCAAACAGAAGAAAAAGTCCCATTGCTTAGAACAGCAACAGCAGTAGCCGTGCAAGCCGGAAAATCTGAGATTACCTCTTCTGCTGCCTCTGAGCCACGACCCTGCACTAGCCTCACACTAACACACAGCAGAGAGGGGAAAACACTCAGCATCAGGAGGACCAGACAAACTCCGCTAAAACAAAACCCACAAGCAAGAGGCAAACAGGGCCGGGCTGCAGAGGAGCGAGTCCGCTGCTATAGGCCTGGGGCCCGGGGCCTCTGAGTCTCTTTCTCTTTCCCTTTTGACCTTTGCCCACTCTGGGTTTTCTGCAAAACATGAATAATGCAGAAAAGGACGTCTAAGTAAGGACTGCCACATGCATGTACAGGGATTCAATCAGAACAAAAGGAATTTAAAACAAAGCAGCAGGTTCCATGTTGAAGCCCTGCTTGAAATAAGCAGTAAGCCATGCCATTGTGTCTGTGTATGTGATCGGTGAGCTTAAAGGAAAAAAACAAATACATAAATCCACCATTTCCCCTCTTAATGTAGTCAATCAGCCAAGAAATTGGTTTCATTAGTCTTAAACTGCAGCTATCAGAGCAAAAAGGGGGTGGAGGGGCGGGGCTTATACTATGGACACACCCAAGCTCAAATATCTGGGCTTTTGTTCTAAAGTTGCTTTTTAAATTATAGAGTTTGTTTATTGCACTATTAGCCTCTAGTGCACAACTAAAAGTAGAAAAGTCTTGGATGATCAACTAGGTTTGGGGTAAAATCAAGGTGTAAATTGAATTTTTTGGTGGAAATATCGCTTTAAAATGAAAGAGATCAGTCTTGCTAAGCCCTGCTTGAAATAAGCACTGGACAGGGTTCAGCCTTGCTTCTGTGTGTGTGTGTGTGTGTATGTGTGTGCGTGTTTGATTGGCTTAAGTGAAAGAATCGAAGCACAGGGATGTGAACTTGAGCTCGTGAATTGGAAGCTGAATGGTGGGGGATGGGGTGTGTACGTGCACGGGAGCTGCGGGGGGAGGAGTCTTGCGAGGATCCTGTATTTGGCTCTATAAGCAGAGGATTTGATTTAGCCTCCCAGCTAAACTGACCCATCTCTGAACACACACACATACACACAAGCCACTCATCCAATTAAACAAGGTGCGTTTCCCTGACACACAGATGATCGCATGTACACTCACACACACACACACACACACACACACACTAGCACTGTCCTAACAGCGATGAAAAGCGTGGGTGCAGAAGCAGTCTGTCTGTTCTGAGCTCAGCCTCAGTTTCCAACACTAAAAATAAAATTAGGTTAACGGCATGGCACCTGTGGCTATGATTAGAATAGGGAAGTAGCCGAGGGTCAGTATGAGGCAGCTGCTGTGGACCACACACACGTGCACACACTCCCCTGTGGTACAGCCATCACACACCGCTAACACCTTTGGCATAAAAGAGAAAAATGCCAGACATAGCACTGAAGAAACATGCCTCATCGCTAAGAGGCTGCAAATAATTCCAGTCAACTGCATCACCACTGAAATATGTTATTCTGAAAAGACCCTTTCTGCTGTACCCTGAAACGACACGTAAACCGGCTACATTGTTTGAGGACAGTCAATCTGCTACTCAACGTGCTAGCGGCTAGTCAATCCGCTTTTCGGAGTTGTGCCACAACGCCTTCATCTATCCTCCTGGGTCGCAGGGCCACAGCGTCTTAAATAACTATTTGCTCCAGCAGCCAATTCGCCAAAAACTACATAGTGTGACACCAAAACAACCTTTCCGCTTTTCCCTATCAATCTGTAAATGGTAAAAATGTAAACAGTAAAGACAGAGCACCTTCGGCACCAACGTTATCATTAGCATTAGCGCTCATCACCCAGTAGGCCGCTGGTAGCGCAGCGTCCAGCTGACTGCTTCTCATATGTTCTCTATTTCATTAAAATTATGAATATGGGCTTTTCTTCTCAGTCGTTAACAAAAACGAATGCCACACTAGCTTATCACTGCTAATCCTGAACACTCACACGAGTACACTCACTCATACATAGTAGCCGAGCTTTACTTACTTTTCTTTCTTTGTTTTGACTTCTTGTTTTTGTCTGAAAGTAAAAAAAAAAAGTAATAATGTAGCTTGTTCGCTCAAATATGGTCAATTGCGCAAGTTATTCAAAATGGACAATTTCAAAGCTGCTTACCTGCATTCACATTTTGTGTGTTCCGTGAAACTCAACTGAAATTTGTGTTGCGATACAGCTTGTTTCACTCGTAATACCTGAAAACAGACAACAGAAATTTGATAAGAACTGGTGATGGGACAGGGTGTGCGTTTTTCTTTACACAAGGCCTATTAGCTTCCCCTTCTTTCTAACCACTCTTTGACCTCTCTCGGAGTGCTGCTAAATGATTTATCAATCTCAGATCACCAGCACCGAGCAACAGGAGGCCGTGTGGCGTTATATTCGCCATGGCTGGCCTTGCTTGTGGGCGAGAGGGACTTTGTGCTCACAAACACAGGCATAAACAGTGCGAGAAGGGGTAAACAACATAGTTGACATGCCACTGGACTGGACCTCACTTTCCTCAAGCTGGACAATGCCACCAGGCAAAAGGCAATGGGCAGCTCAGGCCACTGGCAATGCTTTGCTCCAAATAAACATTTTTGGCACCAATGTAATTATTATCATTGTATTACATTATTCATATTACATAATGTATGATAGTTTTGATACGTGTAAAGGAGTTTTCCAAAGAGCTTCTGCTTTAGTTATACACAAATGAGCTTACTGTCCTACCATTGCTGTTCGATTTTAACTCCTTATACATTAAGCTTATCACTCACTTATTAATCTTAAGGCTTATAGTAACTAGTAACTACTATGAATTACTCAGTGACTACTACGTTTTATCCAGTAACTAAAATGAATTAGACAGTAACTACCATTGTGTAACTGACATTATCAACAATAATAATCAACATTATTTGCAGAAACCACCTAAAAAGTTCCTGGAATGCTCCTGGGATGCTGCGAGAGAGGAACTGTAGGAGCCACAAGGCTGGGAAGTACTGAAACTACAATCATTTAATCTATCCACCACTGTTCAATATGTCAGCTAATCAAACCATTACAGAAAATTCACCTCCATTGTGACGTTTCGCGTCTCTGTAGGACCACACTCAAGCGCTTCATCGTTGCAGCAGCCTGCGCAGCGATTGAGAACTACGCAGGAAGGGATGTAAGTAGATTCAATGTCGTCTGGATACTCCTGCAGGATGTCAACAAGAACCTCCCGAGTGTTACACTGGCTTTTTGTGTAGACATCCATGAAAGCAATAACTGTAAAACAGAAAGGTGAGGAAATGTAGAGTGTAAGCCGGCTAAACAATTCAGTTCAATTATGATTCTTTGGGAATTTCAATACTACTTGTTTTATTCAACTATTTTGATAATCATTCAGCATTAATTTAAAAAAAAATATAGTGAATACAAAAATGTAACTACCTAGATTTTCAATCATGAAATGTACTTTTAACCTGCAGTCATTGTGAATTTCTAGGATTACTCAATGTCTCTTCTCTGAACTTCTACTGCCCATAACCTGCCCTTTGTCCTGTCTATTCTACCTTTTCTGTTTCTCTTTGCTTCCCATGAGGGCTGCCAATTCCTCTGCACTCTTGGCTCCTTTTGTCCCGCAGTCAGGTACAAGCACTTCCTGAGCGGAGCCCCAGCGCAAAAAGCCAGATTAGCAAAGAAACAATGCTAAAGATCTGTGTGGCTCAACACTCCACAAAAGCCTATTGTACGGACGAGGGCCTTAATTTTACCTAAGTGGGAAAAAAAAGACTGTCTGACTTGCTTGACCACACACACTCACTCGTGGAGGGACATGCCCCTTGCGAGCCCCATCCTCCCTCTTTCCAGAAGAAACCATGCCCCACCCTAGTGGCTCTCACCCTCATCCATGTGACCTCAGCACCTTGTGACCTGCTGTGGCGCCAAGCTTCACCTTCGACCCCTGACCTTGGAAAAAGCCCACCCTGGCACATCTCTGAAGCAGAGAGGAAGCTTTCTGTGTTTTAACACCTTTTTGCTGTGCTGTGCTAGCTGACTAGCCTAAGTCAAATGGTGTGAGTAAGGTTAATTTGTCCACCAAAGAATGCTGACCTGCTCTAAGCATGGTTAATCTTTCCACTGTGTCTAATGTCAATCCTCCCACAGTCAATCATTTCAAAAGGACAGTTCAAGCACAAGTGCTAATGTTGCTAACAAGGCCTGTTATTGCTAGCTAGCATTAAGCAAATCAGACCATGCAAACTGGCTCAAGCTGGCTTCCATTCATCATTAGGAGCGCTAGCATTTTTGGTCAAATTATCTTTTTAGCTTACTGTCAAGTCATCAACATGGATGTCTGCTCAGATACTAGCATCATTCTTCAGCAGGATGTAGACATGCTAACTGTATCAGAGTAGGACACCTCAGCTGTCTGTGAGAACATTGTCTGTTCCATTGCTACGCATAATTTAATATGTAGCTGCAATGCCAGTGGAATATCACACCTCCACATGAGGTCATAGAGGACCAGAAAGCACTGGGTGCTCAAAGTAGCCTAGTGCAGGCTAGACACTTCACTGTAAACAACAACAACAGCAACAACACTGAGTTTGCTCAACAAATTATAAATGGAAACCTTCATAAACAACTTTCACAAACACAAAAAGGTGCCTACAACATAAGTTGCCTGAAAAACAGAATTCAGGGGTTAACAAGCTAATTTAGCAGAATCAAAAAATATCAAAATATATCAGGGTTTAAATGGAGCCAGCTTGCGAGTCCATGAGTCCAGTTTTATAGTGGCCTACACTCACCCTAACGCCCACTCAGGTCTACTACCGTCCAATGAATTTGACCTTGGGAAAACTTTGATGGACAAACTAGCCTAGCTGTGTCATCACTAATAAACAAACATGGCCCTGTCCACTGCCTCCTGCCAAGGCTGTCAGCATACAGTAAATTATTTGTTTTGACAGTGCTGGGAATAGAAAAAAAAGCATTAAAAAAAAGAACGGAAAAAATTCCAGTCCTTGTTTGCAGCCGAGCAAATGATTAACCAAGGTCTGCCCTCTGTGACACATCACTTTAGAAGTAAAGGGAATTAAATATTGAATGGAAAGAAAGCCTAGTTGATTGCTCGCCAAACATAGCCTAGGTTTCACACTTTGCCTCAGAACTATGCCTCGTACCAATGAGGTGTCATTCTAAATACTTTCGCAAGGGGGCAGCACTTTCAACTATTTTGGTGAAAGGAAAAAAAAGTTGCATCTCTTGATACCAAAGTTTCTTTACTAAATGCTTCATGGGTCCATATAGGAGACCACTTACCTTCATTTTTGCTTTTCCATCCCTCTTTAGGTATGTGTGCCGCCTGTGGGGGAAAAAAAAAAGATGAGCAAGAGCTTATTAACAAGTGTCTTTCAAAAGTAGGTTAGGTCTGTAGGTCTATTTCTGCCGGCAAGATTTATCAAGAATGTTAGGAATGTGTTAATTAAACTTTAATCAAGCCGCTCTAACCAGCTTTGTTTTCATGCAGATCAAGTCTAACCAAAACAACAGAAACAATCTGAAAACACATTTAATTGCTTTGGGAAAGGCATAATAATTTGCCTATATAAGCTTATTACTCCTCCTGTACATAATTAACATTTAATAAACATGCAGTTAATGAACATTTCACTGAAATGTGTTCAGTTCATTGGAGAAGCATTTGATTCTAGGCCTAGGCTCCAAATTGTCACTATTTCTCTCTTGTCCCTTTTCCCGCCTTCACATTATGCTGTAGCATGGCCACACAGAAAAAGCCTTGGCCTTGCATTACCACCTACAGTGGTCAACTGGACACTGTAAGAGTGAAATCAACACTATAGCTGCTAATTCTACATGGTGAGAGCTAAATCGAACTCTGCAGGAGGTCATTCAACAGTACTACAGTGTGGCACTCCTGCAGGTGTGAAGCCTGTCTGGTGCAACAGCGCACAGACATTGCACCAGAATTGTGCCGGTGGCCTATAACCACACGAAACATCAAAAAGCTTTTGAAGTAACTCTCCTCTCTCAAGCCACATTACATTCCTGAAATGAAGATAGAATGAAATGCATGTAGAATTACACAAAATGCATGTTTCTCATAGAAAGAGGCAGGCTTTTTGCACCCTATCATGACTCACCACATTATTTAAGTAAGATGGGAACAGACCGGCAGCCTGAAGAAAGCAGCCAGGGCTCTTTCTAACTGAACATTGCTGTTGCAGTGTTTTACAGTCATGAATGAAGTGAATATGACTTCATATCTGGTAAACTGCTGCATAAGCAGGATGGGCCTAGGTGAAATTGATCTTATTGCTAAAGACTTTTATTAAATGTCTTTCATCAATAGATGGAAATTTCCATAGGGCTATGTTTTATCATAGCCATGGCTAGTCTGGCCGTATGCAGCCTTAAAACTGAATGAACTGTGATCATATCTAAAATATATTAGGCCTATTACTGATGTGACTAATGGAAATACACCGTTCTTACTGATGACAAGCCAAACGTAATCAGTGTCATTGCTGAGAACAAGTTAATGAGCAGCTCGACTTTCAGGCAAATGGATAAAATCAGAGGTGCCATAATATTATTATCAGTAAATGTGTGTCAGGCTGTGAGGATAATAAGCTATAAGCAGGCTCTGGCTATCACCAGCGTTTAAACACAAGCAGGCTAAATGAGATCAGAAGTGGGCATCACAAGTGCAATTTGGCTATTAATGAAATGTGAAGAGCTTTTTGCTTCTCTGATGTGATGTGATTGCAGAGACCCCCCCATCCACACGCACACAACACACACACACTCACCCCATCAGATCAGAGCTCCTACCTTCAGTGCAGACGCGTGGAGCAGCGCTGCTAACACCAACTGCAGCGAATAGACACCAAAGTTCATGATTTTTGGCTTTTCCGACGCTTTGAAAAAGGGCCTCGAAACCAAACCGCAGGTTAAAAGGGTGAAGGCAGATCTAAAGCTGGGAATAAAAGGCCTCTACAGTGGAGCAAAACCCGTGACACTGAGCAGGAGGAGGAGGAGGAGGGGGGTGTCAGAGCAGCACTCCCATACTGCCACAGGCTGGAGGCACCTGCGAGCAAATCCTCAGGATAAAACAAAAATCGATTATAGGAATAAAAAAAAAAAGAAATAAAATAAAAGGGAAAATCCACACGATCTTGGTTCGTACTCCCTCTGACAAGTCCAACAATCCACAGAGGAAAAGGCCGATCGACGATCAATAAATAATGTAAAAAAAAGAAAAAAATCAAAAAAGGCTGCGAGAGTGAAAAGTTTCTCGTAGAGCTCCCAGTCTGTGCGTGCGGCACCGAGGGCGATCTGCGTTTGCGCTGCGTTCGGTGACGAAGGAACGAGAAATTAGCATTTCATGATGCTAAAAAAAAGATCCAATCCGCCCTCAAAAGGACCGAGGAGCGTCGTTTTTTCTTTTCTTTCTTCGCTTGAATGGGGAGCTCCCTCTTTCTCCCTGTCTCTTTCTCTCCTTCTCGCTCGCTCGCTCTCTCTCTTTGGAGCGCGGTTCATGTTCTCCGTCTTGAGAGAGTGGGGTGCTCAGCGGCGACGATCCCATTGGCCGCCGTGCAGTCTGACGTCACCCTGCGTAGAGGGCGGTCCCGTGTGAGTTGCTGCGGGCTCATTGGATACATGAGAGAGGTCTGGTTAGAGCGCTGATTTGTCAGAAGAAAGCGTACGTTTGTGACGCAGCTGGAGCTTGACTCAGCTCCCTGACCGTCCTTGTGAATGCAGTTCCTCACGATTATAATATCGCAGTGAACGGGCGGCGGTTTTATGCTGAAACACCCTCATCTTAATAAACTTGTTAAGAAATTAAGGTGCTCACAATATTGACTCGCTTGAGGAGTGAAAGGGCCTCATGTCCCACGGATGACTTTTTGGTCAAATTGCATTTTTTAAGTATTCATTTATTACAATTTATACCTGATGTGTAGCTTATAGGCTGTATAATACTGTAAGTTATGGTGTAGTGTTTTGTTTTGTTGGTTTTGGGTTTGTATTGTGTTTGTCATGTTAGTCGAGGATTTCTATTTTAGGAGTTGAGGAGTTCTATTTTAAAGAAAATATTCTATTTTTTAAAGAAAATGTCATGATTTGTTTTCTTTTTTCTTAAAATTCTCAAAATAGTGACTTATTTTCTTTCAAAAAATGAAATTTTTATGCCTATATTTAATTACCTTTTTTCTAAATTGTTGACTCACTTTGACAAAACAATTGCTTATTGTCTCGTAATTTTGACTTTTGACAAAATGACATTTTTTTTATTTTAATAACATACTGAAAGATTTTTGAAAACGAGAATTTCTATAGAGATACAAAGATACTAAGTGAAAATATTCAGAAAATGTCATTATTTTAGAATGCTAAATCAAAATTTTGATATACTGCTGCAAGAAAAGCTCTGTGCAAATCACGCCACAGCATGTCAAGCCAAATGTAATGTAGTCTGAAGAGCAGAGTGCTTGTTCATGCCAATAAGATTCTCATTGATACAATGATGAAATTTGGGAATACTCTTTCTTGAGCACAAGCTGCAGTCCAGGGAGAGTGAAAGTCCTCACTACACATTTTACACACACAGAAAAGTACAACCAGGTTTGTTGTGTTCAATGTAAAAAAGTAATATGAGTAATATGAATATTAGAGTTGATCATATAGAGAAGGTAGGAAGCTTCTGCACTGCTGCCACGTGCGAGATTTCAAAAGCTCTATTAATAACTAATGAGAGGATTCATGCAGGCTGCTGTCTATTTTTGGAAGAGAAAGTGGTGTCAGCTGTATTTAGAACAGAGCAATGTATTCATTTAAAAGGCTGATGCACATGATCGGTTTCAAATGAATTTATTTAAAAATGTACCAATTGCACATTTGGACTTGTCAAATCAAAATGTCATTGGCAATGTAACTATGTAGGTAATGATGTAATTATATTAATTCATTTATAATTCTGGAGAGCTGCTAGAAATTACTGTACTGGCTTGAATAGACAAACAGAATAGGAAAGAATAGGAAACACCTGGCAGACAGACTTATGCAGTGAGGCATAAGAGGCTTGGCTGCAGGGTTTTTTCAGTTAGGCACTTCCAAGCATCTTTACCTTGCTGTGTTTTTCAGAGAAACAGTGTAACTCCCCCCCCTCTGTTTTTGGGTTGGAGTAAATGGGTGATGGATGAGAATCTGAGCTGGTGTTTTTTGTCTGGAGGGGAGTGTATGTGTGTGTGTTTGTGTGTATGAGGCAATGCCAGCTAACCCTGGTTCCCATGAATCTGCACTGCTGAGAATGGCTATTTCAGTCAGACAGTACGTGAGGAGTCTGTCCAGACGGCGCCCCTTTAGAAATTTAGAGGTAGCTTCAGTCCCCTTTAAAACTCTCACACACACACACATACAGGTCTGCTGCAAGTCAGGATGTGGGGTACAGTCGTATGCAGAAGTGTGAACACCCCTGGTGTGCCATAACTTTCGCACAGGCTGCATTTCTCATTTTGTGTTTATCCCCAGTATTTTCAATTCAACAAATAAACAGGCCAAAACTGTGCCATATGTGATTATGTATGTCATATATAAAGAATTTGTGATTTTCTAAGGTTTTGTACAATTTTACACAATTTTATTTGACCAGGTGTGTCCTAACCTTTGCATACGTCTGTATGTCTCAAATGCACTATGTATGATTAACTATATGTAATGTTTTGTGCAAGAAGAATATGCCCAATATATATTATGCACATATCAGTCAAACACAGAAGCTGCTAGTATTGAATGTGTTTGAGATTACTTGGATTGTGAGAAGCAAAAAATGCAACTTTGGAGGTGTGGAAAGATATCCCTGGATATTTCTTTGAAAAACTATAAGCAAGTTTCCTGAAAAGAATGGATGGCAAGGGGTGGACACACTAAATACTGATAAATTTCATATTATATTTAGTTACTGAAGCATAATTTTTATGTGAAAACGAATGTGTGTTATTGATAGCTACTATTTGTAAACTTTGGCTTGAGCTATAATGAAGGTAAAGGGTGATTCATTTGTACTTATTAGACATTTAGATTGATAATGTAAAGAAATAAACGGTGGTCTCTGACTTTTGTACAGTGCTGCAAATATACAAACGACATGCCTCATTTATATGCAGTATGTGTAAGTACAATATTTTTTTAGTTTTATTTGTCTAAATCATTTGAATACAGTAGTTGCTCTTTACTTTGTATGAATATTTCATGATGATTGGCCCACAGAAATGCTCCAAAAGAAAGAAAAGCTCTTTACATTAACTTGCATTAGAAGTAAAGGACATTTTTGCCCTCTCTTGTAAACTTACAAATTTGGTGATACTTGTTTTTCTTTGGACAGTGATGATATGACGTGTTTCATTTCAAAATACTGTATATCATTTGTAGCATTTTTTTTAAAATGTTTTCACTCTTTCATTTTTTTAAAAAAAATGCAACATGAAACCTTTTTAGAAGCACTTTACAAAGTAATGATCACTTTGTTGATCATGTGGGTTAGCCTTGGTTATATCTGATTTTACAATATTTGTAAAATGTTTTGCAAATGTACAAAAACCAACACACACACACACACAAACACACACACACGTACACACATACAGTCACTTTGTCCTTGTTCCCCAGTGGAAAAAAAAAAAACAAAAAAAAAAACTCCTTGTTCCCTTTTCTCGTACATGCTGATGGTTCCTTACTCTTTCTCCCACTGCCCTCTACAGTGGACTCTTTACTCCGTTACCATGGTTTCCTAACCACTTAAACTCTTCTCTTCTTTTTGTTCTCTCCTCTCTATCAGTCTTCCCATGATGAGTTTAATATAGGAAGCTGTGCACTGAGCACTGGAGCAATTAGCTCCCACCGCTGCGCAGCAAGTGTGAAATATCTGTTTAATTACAGCCATGAATGGACTTACATTTATTAACAAGTAATAAGCACTCAGAACCTTCCCAGCTATTGTTGCTCACTCTGTATTATTGTTTGCTGCACAATAAAACAATTCATTAAAGTGAAAGAAAGACTATTTCTTAATTCATTAAAGTCTATTTATCACTCTTTTCCTCATTCAATGGAAAACTGACTCAAAACAGTGAGTTATCTGCTTCCCAAAACTTGATTGGAAAGTCCTAGATGGAAAGGGCAGCATGCAGCATGATTCTTCCTGTCCATAGTTAACATCCTTTTTCATTCTGAAACATTTTTGTGAACAAGGCCTGCATGAATATTTGTTTTGTCACAGTCTGAGTCTTCTGGCAAAACTGTACATCTCCCAAATATCACCCGGACAAACAGAGTGGGGTAATCTGGAAGCAGCCTGCCAATTTTGATAAAGATAATGTGTCATTTATTTTTAGATAATTAACAGTAATCTAAAATAAATAAAGCATTTACAGCTTTTTCCACTGCATGTAGTAAGTGCATCCAGAAAGACTTGTTCAGACTGAAACTGTACTTAATACCAAATCCACTGAATCTCTATAGCCGTGTTTATAGAAGGTGCATTGTGCAATATACGCTATATATACACGTATATAGTGTATAGTGATATATACTATATAGACAAAAGTATTGGGACACCTACACATTATACCTATAGGAGCTTTTATGACACCCCATTCTAAATCCATAGGCATTAATATAGAGTTGGCACCCTTTTGCAGCTATGACAGCTTCCACTCTTCTGGGAAGCTTTCTACAAGATTTTGGAAATGTGTCTGTGGGAATTTGAGCCTATTCATCCAGAAGAGCATTTGTGAGGTCAGACACTGATGTTGGATGAGAGGGCCTGGCTCGCAATCTCCGTTCTTGTTCATCCCAAAGATGTTTGATGGGGTTGAGGTCAGGGCTCTGTGTGGGCCAGTCAAGTTCTTCCACACCAAACTCACCCAAATATGCCTTTATGGACCTTGCTTTGTGCACTGGGGCACAGTCATGCTGGAACACAAAAGGGCCTTCCCCAAACTGTTCCCACAAATTTTAAAGCATAAAATTGTGCAAAATTTCTTGGTATGCTGAAGCATTAAGATTTCCCTTCACTGGAACTAAGGAGCCTAGGTCAACCCCTGAAAAACAACCCCACAGCATTATCCCTAAAGCCAAACTTTACAGTGGGCACAACGCAGTCAGGCAGGTAAGGTTCTCCTGGCATTCACCAAACCCAGACTTATCCATCAGACTGCCAGATAGAGAAGCGTGATTCCATGCACCACCGAATATGTTTCCACTGCTCCAGAGTCCAGTGGCAGCATTTTTATTTATTTTTTTATTTTTATATCTTTAGCCAACTGTGTCTGAACACATCAGAATTAGACCTCCGCATTTAACCCATCGGTGCAGTGAAACACCACATACACACTAGTGAACAAACACACACTAGGGGGCAGTGAGCACACTTGCCTGGAGCGGTGGGCAGCCCTATCCACGGCGCCTGGGGAGCAGTTGGGGGTTAGGTGCCTTGCTCCAGGGCACTTCAGTCACTTAATGTCGGCTAAGGGGATCGAACCGGCGACCTTCCGAAGGCTGGTTCCC